AAGAAGCAGTGGTGGCGGACCGTCGTGCAGTCGCGCGACGACGTCGTCGGTCTGGACAGCGCGATCATCCTGCCGCGCCAGGTGTGGGTGGCCTCGGGTCACGTCGCGGTGTTCAACGACCCGCTGGTCGAGTGCCTGAACTGCCACAAGCGGTTCCGCGAGGACCACATGCTCGAGGAGTACGAGGAGAGAAGAAGGGCCCGCGCGCCCGAGAACGGCCTCGCCGACATCGCCCTGCCCGAACTGCGGCACCCGCGGGCAGTGGACCGAGCCGCGTGACTTCAACATGATGCTCAAGACCTACCTCGGCCCCATCGAGTCCGAAGAAGGCATGCACTACCTGCGTCCCGAGACCGCGCAGGGCATCTTCGTGAACTTCGCGAACGTGGTGACCACCGCGCGCAAGAAGCCGCCGTTCGGCATCGGCCAGATCGGCAAGAGCTTCCGCAACGAGATCACGCCGGGCAACTTCATCTTCCGCACCCGCGAGTTCGAGCAGATGGAGATGGAGTTCTTCGTCGAGCCCGGCACCGACGAGACCTGGCACCAGTACTGGATCGACCAGCGCACCGACTGGTACGTCGACCTGGGCATCTCCCGCGACAACCTGCGGCACTACGAGCACCCGGCCGAGAAGCTGTCGCACTACTCGAAGCGCACCGTCGACATCGAGTACAAGTTCGGCTTCAGCGGCTCCGAGTGGGGCGAGCTCGAGGGCATCGCGAACCGGACCGACTTCGACCTGTCGACGCACTCGAAGCACTCCGGCCAGGACCTGTCGTACTTCGACCAGACCAAGGACGAGCGGTGGGTGCCGTACGTCATCGAGCCGGCGGCCGGCCTGACCCGCTCGCTGATGGCGTTCCTGGTCGACTCGTATCACGAGGACGAGGCCCCCAACGCCAAGGGCGGTGTCGACAAGCGCACCGTGCTCAAGCTCGACCCGCGCCTCGCCCCGGTCAAGGCCGCGGTGCTGCCGCTGTCGCGTAACGCCGACCTGTCGCCGAAGGCCCGCGACCTGGCCGCCGAGTTGCGCAAGAACTGGAACGTCGAGTTCGACGACGCCGGCGCCATCGGCCGCCGCTACCGGCGCCAGGACGAGATCGGTACGCCGTACTGCATCACGGTCGACTTCGACTCGCTCGAGGACCACGCCGTGACCATCCGGCACCGCGACGACATGACGCAGGAGCGGGTGGCGCTGGACCAGGTGACCGGCTACCTCGCGCAGCGGCTCGTCGGGGCCTGAGCCCTGGCCGGCCACGGCCACGCGCACGGCGCGGGTCCCACCCCCGACCTCCCGGTCGGCAGGCGGGCCCGCGCCGTCGTCGTCGCGCTGCTCGGCGTCGCGCTGCTGGCGACCCTCGCCGGGCTCGTGGCGCTGTGGCCGCGGGACGACGCCCCGACGCTCGACAACCACGCCCGAGGGCTCGTCCTACGTCGAGGTGACGGCGACCGACGTCGACCTGCTGGCGGAGTCCGCGACCGGGGCCGGCGCTGCTCGCCGAGACCGACAGCGGCGAGGCGATCACGGTCCAGGTCGCGCCCGAGCACCTCGAGGTGATCGAGCCGGGCGACCGGATCCGGGTGCTGACCCTGCCGCAGACGGGTGGCGCGGCGCCGTACGTGTTCGTCGACCTCGTGCGCGGGCCGCCCATGGCGCTGCTCGCCGCGGTGCTCGGCGTGCTGGTGCTGGCCGTCGCGCGGCTGCGCGGGCTCGGCGCCCTGGCGGGTCTCGTGGTGGCGGTCGGCGGCGTGCTCGGCTTCACGGTGCCCGCGCTGCTGACCGGCGGGCCGGCGCTGCCGGTCGCGCTGGTGACCGCGTCGGCGCTCATGTTCGTGCTGCTGTACCTCGCGCACGGCGTCTCGATCCGGACGTCGACGGCGCTGCTCGGGACGCTCGGCGGGCTGCTGGCGACCGGCGTGCTCGCCGCATGGGCCACCGGCGCGACGCACCTCAACGCGCTCAGCGGCGAGTACGCGCTGGACCTGCGCGCGGCCGCGCCGGAGGCGGACCTGCAGGGGATCCTGCTGTGCGGGATCGTCCTGGCTGGCCTCGGCGTGCTGAACGACGTGACGATCACGCAGGTGTCGGCGGTGTGGGAGATCCGGGCGCTGTCGCCCGCCGCCACGCGCCGCGAGCTCTTCGCGGCGGCATGCGGATCGGCCGGGACCACATCGCGTCGACGGTGTACACCGTGGCGTTCGCGTACCTCGGGGCGGCGCTGCCGCTGGTGCTGCTCGTCGCGATGTCCGACCGCACGTTGCTCGACTCGTTGACGAGCGGGGAGATCGCCGAGGAGGTCGTGCGGACGCTGGTCGGCTCGATCGGCCTGGTGCTGGCCATCCCGCTGACGACGGCCATCGCCGCGGCCCTGGTCCCCGCGCCGAGTGCCGCGCCGTTCCCGACCGCGACGGGGTCGTCCACCGACGACCCGGATCCCGCACCGACCCCGGCGGCCTGACGGGGCGGCACCCCTTGCCGAGATGGCAACTCTCGGCTGTGTCCGGGCGCCCGCGCACAGCCGAGAGTTGCCATCTCGGCGAACGGGGCGTCAGGCGTGCGGCGGGGCGTCCGCCTCCGTGACCGCGTGCACGTGGGCGTGCGCGTGGGTGTCCGCCGCCGCGTGGCGCGCGGGCGCCGCGCCCGTGCGCGTCACCACCAGCGCCGCGATGCCCGTGGTCAGCGGGATCGCCAGCACCAGGCCGATCGACGACACCATGGTGCGGACGATCTCCTCGGCGAACTCCCCGGACGTCAGCGTGGGCCCGAGCGGCAGGCTGTACAGCTCGAGCAGCAGCAGCACGGGCAGCGCGGCGCCGGTGTAGGCGAACGCGATCGTGTAGACGGTCGACGCGATGTGGTCCCGCCCGATCCGCATGCCACCGCGGAACAGCTCGCGGCGCGACGCCCCGGGGGAGACGGCGCGCAGCTCCCACACCGCCGAGGCCTGCGTGATCGTCACGTCGTTCAGCACGCCGAGCCCGGCGAGCACCAGCCCGCACAGGAACAGCCCGCGCAGGGACGTCGCGCCGCTCTCGCCGAGCAGCTGCGCCAGCCGGTACGAGTCCTCGCTGCTCACGCCCGACAGCCGCGCCCAGGACGCCCCGAGCACCCCGAGGACCGTCGTCGCCGCGAGCCCGGCGAGCGTGCCGAGCAGCGCCGCCGACGTGCGCAGCGACAGCCCGTGCGCGAGGTACAGGACCACGGCCATGATCAGCGTCGACGCGCTGAGCGCGACCACCACCCGGGTTCTCGCCGCGCACCAGCGCCGGCAGCACGTAGACGCCGATGACGGCGAACGCGATGAGCAGCCCGACGAGCGCCCGCAGGCCGCGGCCGCGTGCGACCAGGATGATCGCCAGCGCGAACACCAGCGCGATCGTGACGAGCGGCAGCGTGCGGTCGTAGTCGTGCCAGGCCCACACCTCGGGGTCCGTGTCGGTGGCCGGGTAGTGCTCGACGAGGATCCGGGTGCCGGCGGGCACCTGGTCGGCCGTCGTCGACGCCGTGGCCCACACCTGGACCTCCCGGCCCTGCTCCGGGCCGCTGGTCACCGTCGCCGACACCCGCAGGCACGGCACCTCGGCCGGGATCGTGCCGTCCGGCTCCCGGTCCTCGACCGTGCCCTCGCACTGCTCGACCGTGGTGCCGGTCACGGTCGCCGTCGGGTAGTCGATGTCGACCTCGCTGACGGTCCGCGCGGACTGCACCTCGCCGTGCGGCCAGGTCAGGGCCATGCCGACGGCGGCGGCGAGCACGAGCGGCAGCAGGATCGCGGCGATGAGCCCGGCGGGTGCGCAGGGCGGCGGGGGGAGGGCACGGGGGCGATTCTGCCGGGTGCGCGGGGCCCTCGCCCTCGGGGTCCGCCGCGACGTGGGGGACAATCGAGGCATGACCGTTCCCTCCACCGTCGACCCGGCGGCGCCCGTCGCCGAGGGGCACGTGCTGCCGCCGCTGCGCATCGGCCCGCTCACGATCGACACGCCCGTGGTGCTCGCGCCCATGGCCGGCGTGACCAACGCGGCGTTCCGCCGGCTGTGCCGCGAGTCCGGCGCCGGCCTGTACGTGGCGGAGATGGTGACCTCGCGGGCGCTGGTCGAGCGCGGCGAGGAGTCGATGCGGATCATCTCGCACGCCCCGGACGAGAAGCCGCGCTCCGTGCAGGTCTACGGCGTCGACCCGGCGACCGTCGGGGCCGCCGTGCACCTCATCGCGTCCGAGGACCGCGCCGACCACATCGACATGAACTTCGGCTGCCCGGTGCCCAAGGTCACGCGCCGCGGCGGCGGATCGGCCCTGCCGTGGAAGCGCGAGCTGTTCGAGTCGATCCTGCGCGCCGCCGTCGAGGCCGCCCGCCCGTACGGCGTCCCGGTCACCGTGAAGATGCGCAAGGGCATCGACTCCGACCACCTTGACCTACCTCGAGGCCGGGCTCGTCGCCCAGGACCTCGGTGTCGCCGCCGTCGCGCTGCACGCCCGCACCGCCGCGCAGCGCTACTCCGGCACCGCCGACTGGGAGGCGATCGCGAAGCTCAAGGAGACCGTCACCGGCATTCCGGTGCTCGGCAACGGCGACATCTGGTCCGCCGAGGGACGCGGTCCGGATGGTCCGGGAGACCGGCTGCGACGGGGTCGTCGTCGGCCGCGGCTGCCAGGGGCGCCCGTGGCTGTTCGCCGACCTCGCGGCGGCGTTCGCGGGGTCCGACGAGCGGATCACGCCCGGCGCCCGGTACGTCGCGCAGGTCATCCGCCGGCACGCCGAGCTGATGGTCGAGCACTTCGGCGACGAGGGCAAGGCGCTCCGCGAGCTGCGCAAGCACATGGCCTGGTACTGGAAGGGCTACGTCGTCGGGCGGCGAGCAGCGCGCGGCGCTCGGCCTCGTGTCGTCCCTGGCCGAGCTCGACGACCGGCTCGCGGCGCTCGACCTCGACCAGCCGTACCCGGGCGAGGCGGCGGAGGGCCAGCGCGGCCGCGCCGGGACCCCGAAGCGCCCGCACCTCCCGGACGGCTGGCTGGACAGCCGGGACCTCTCGGAGGACTTCCGCCGCTCCCTCCAGGAGGCCGAGCTCAGCGTCAGCGGCGGCTGACCCGCGCCGAGAGGTCGCAGACCGGGGCCTTCAGAGCCGCGAAGACCCCGATCCGCGACCTCTCGGTCAGGCGCGCGCCACAGCGACGCGCGCCGCCAGGGCGCGCACGGACTCCGCGGTCGCGTGGGGGGCGCCGAGCGACTCCGTGGTCACCGCCAGGGCGCCCGCCGCGCTCGCCCACGTCAGCGCCTCGGCCGTCCCGCGCCCCGCCAGGGTCGCCGCCAGCAGGCCCGACAGGAACGCGTCGCCCGCGCCGTCGGCGTCGACGACCGACGCGACCGGCGCCGCGCCGACCTCCCAGAAGCCGTCCGGGTCGAGCGCCAGCGCCCCGCGCGACCCGCGGGTGCAGACCGCGAGCCGCGCGCCGCCCGCGACGCGCGCCCGCAGGTACGCCGCCGGGTCGTCGAGCCGCGCCTCGGACACCAGCAGCACGTCCGCCGCGTCCGCGAACGGCCGCTGGAACGCCGCGACCCCGTCGTCGTCGTGGACGTCGCACCAGACCGGCACCCCGGCCTCGCGCGCGGTGGCCAGCACCGGGACCGACAGCTCCGCCAGGTCGACGACCGCGACCCGCGCGCCCGCGAGCCCGTCCGCCGGGTCGACGGCGACGCCCGGCGACGGCAGCTCCAGGTACACCGACACCCGCCCGCCGTCGGCCGCCACGAGGTTGACGTGCCGCTCGGTCCGCCCGCCGGCCGCGGGCACGGCGTCGAGCGCGATCCGCGGGTGCGCCAGCGCGTCACGCACGGCGTCCCCGAGCGCGTCGGACCCGAGCACCGTCCGCAGCCGCACGTCGACGCCGAGCGCCGCGAGCGTCACCGCCTTGCCGGCCGACGTCCCGCCGAGCCCGTCGTGGTGCCCGGACGCGAACAGCGTCTGCGACCGCGCGCCGGGCAGCGCGTCGACCCGGACCACCGTGTTCCAGGAGGCGGGCCCCACGACGACGACGGGGCCGCCCCCGTGCGCGGGGGCGGCCCCGTCGGGGTGCGTCACGGCGTCAGCGCGCCCGGAGCCAGACGGTGGTGTCGCCGGGCAGCTCCGCGCCGACCGGGGCGTCGCCCGGCAGGCCGGAGGCCAGCAGCACCTCGGCGTCGAGCGGCAGCTGGACCGGGGTCGAGCCCAGGTTCGCGACGACGACCACCGAGCCGTTGCGCACGGCGATGACGTCCTCGTCGTCCTGGAACTCCGGCTCCCACGACGCCCCGCCCAGACCGAGCTTCTCGGCCCGGCGCAGGCGCAGCGCAGCGCGGTACAGCTCGAGCGTCGAGCCCGCGACGCCGTCCTGCGCGTCGGCGGCGAACGCGGCCCACTCGGCGGGCTGCGGCAGCCACGTCCTCCCGGTCGGGGAGTAGCCGAAGCCCGGGGCGTCCGCCTCCCACGGCAGCGGCACGCGGCAGCCGTCGCGGCCGCGCTCGGCGCCGTTCGTGCGGAAGAACGCCGGGTCCTCGCGGACCTCGTCGGCCAGCGACGTGTGCTCGGGCAGGCCGAGCTCCTCGCCCTGGTAGACGTAAGCGGAGCCGGGCAGGCCGAGCATGAGCAGCGAGGCGGCGCGGGCGCGGCGCAGGCCGAGCTCGGCGTCGGGCTGCTCGTCCTCGGCGCCGATCCCGTTCGGGCGCGACGACGGGTCGGCCAGGCCGAGCCGGGACGCGTGCCGGACGACGTCGTGGTTCGACATCACCCACGTCGTCGGCGCGCCGACGGTGTCGTTCACCTGGTACGACGCCGCGATGACCTTGCGCAGCGCCGGGGCGTCCCAGCCGGTCGCGAGGAACGCGAAGTTGAACGCCTGGTGCATCTCGTCCGGGCGCACGTAGCGGGCCAGCCGGCTGAGCGGCTCGACCCACGCCTCGGCGACCAGCATCCGGTCGCCGTCGTACTCGTCGAGCACCTTGCGCCAGGCGCGGTAGATCTCGTGCACGCCGTCCTGGTCGAACATCGGGCCCTGGTTGCCGGAGCCGGCGACCGCGTCGACGTCGTCGGCGCCTTCGATCATCGAGACGTGGCCGTCCCAGTCGGGCAGCCCCTCGGCCTTGACCATGCCGTGCGCGACGTCGACCCGGAAGCCGTCCACCCCGCGGTCCAGCCAGAACCGGAGCACGCCCTCGAACTCCTCGCGGACCTCGGGGTTCGACCAGTCGAGGTCGGGCTGCTTGGAGTCGAACAGGTGCAGGTACCACTGGCCGTCGTCGACGCCGTGCTTCTCCGGCGTGAGCCGGGTCCAGGCCGGGCCGCCGAAGATCGAGCCCCAGTTGTTCGGCGGCTCGGTGCCGTCGACGCCGCGGCCCTCGCGGAACAGGTACCGCGCGCGCTCGGGGGAGCCCGGGGGCGTCTTGAGCGCCTCCTGGAACCACACGTGCTCGTCCGAGGAGTGGTTCGGGACCAGGTCGACGACGACCTTGAGGCCGAGCTCGTGCGCGCGCCCGAGCAGCGCGTCGAAGTCCGCGAGCGTGCCGAACAGCGGGTCCACGTCCCGGTAGTCGGCGACGTCGTAGCCGGCGTCGGCCTGCGGGGACCGGTAGAACGGCGACAGCCAGACCGCGTCCACGCCCAGGGCCGCCAGGTGGTCCAGCCGCGCGGTGATGCCCGGCAGGTCGCCGATGCCGTCGCCGTCGGCGTCCGCGAACGACCGGGGGTAGACCTGGTAGATCACCGCGTCCCGCCACCACGGGCCGTCGACGGGGCCGGGCTCGTGCACCACCTCCGGGGCGGGGCGGGAGATCGGCTGCTGGTCGAGCTGGGTCACGCTGGTCCTCCGGGAGAAGCGGGTGCTGAGCTGGTGGAGCCGCGCACGATGAGCTCCGGGTGGAACAGGAGCTCGGTGCGCGACGTGGGGGTGCCGTTGATCTCCGCCATGAGCGCGGAGACCGCGGCCTGCCCCATCGCCTGGACGGGCTGGCGCACCGTCGTGAGCGGGGGGTCGGTGAAGCCGATCAGGGGCGAGTCGTCGAAGCCGACGACCGACAGGTCCTCGGGCACCCGCAGACCGCGCGACCGGGCGGCGCGGATCGCGCCGAGCGCCATGAGGTCGGAGCCGCAGATGATCGCGGTGTGCCCGGAGTCGATGAGCTCGTGCGCCGCGGTGGCGCCGCCCTCGACCGTGAACAGGGTGGTGTTGACGTGCGGCTCGGCGTCCTCGACGCCGAGCTGCGCGCGGAGCTGGTCGGCGAACGCCTGGCGCTTGCGGGCCGCGGGCACGAACCGCTCGGGACCGATCGCCAGGCCGATGCGCCGGTGGCCGAGGGCGACCAGGTGCCGGACCGACAGCTCGATCGCCACGGCGTCGTCGGTGGCGATGCTCGGCGCGTCCACGCCGTCGGCCTTGCCGTTGACCAGCACGATCGGCAGCCCGCGCCCGCGCAGCGCGTGGTAGCGCTCCACCGACGCCTGCGTGTCCGCGTGCAGGCCCGAGACGAACAGGATCCCGGACACGTCGTGGTCGAGCAGGATCTCGACGTACTGGTCCTCGGTCGTGCCGCCCGGCTGCTGCGCGCACAGCAGCGGCGTGTAGCCGCGCTGGGTCAGCATCGACTCCATGGCCTGGGCCATGGCGGGGAACACCGGGTTCGACAGCTCGGGGACCACGAGGCCGACCAGCCCGGCCGGCCGGGTGCGGAGCTTCTCGGGGCGCTCGTAGCCGAGCACGTCGAGGGCGGCCAGCACGGCCTGCCGCGCCTGCGAGGAGACGCCGGGCTTGCCGTTGAGGACCCGCGAGACCGTCGCGGTGGAGACGCCGGCCTGCTCGGCCAGGTCGGTGAGGCGTGTGCGCACGGTCGCGAGCGTAGAGGGCACCGTCGCCTCCTCGTCGTCGTTGTCGTCATCCGATCGGGCCACGTCGTCCCTCGGGTCGGAGAGCACTGTAAACCGATGCCTGAAAGTTACCGTAACGGCTTGCAAACGGGTTCCGCGGCCCGTTACGGTCCCCGCATCGAGCCAGCGCCGGCGGTGCCGTCGACGGCTCGCACCGCCCCTTCTGACGCTGGGAGACACCCTGATGCGACGGAGCATCCCCGCCCTCGCCACGACGGCCGTCCTCGCGCTCGCCCTCGCGGCGTGCTCGAGCTCGGACTCGCCGTCCGACGCCACCTCCGACAGCCCCGCGGCCGACGCCGCCGAGGGCACCCTGACGATGTGGGTCGACGACACCCGCATCGACTCCATGCGCCCCGTCGTCGAGGCCTTCTCCGAGGAGTCCGGCGTCGAGGTCGAGCTGGTCCAGAAGGCCACCGGCGACATCGGCCCCGACTTCGTGACCCAGGTCCCGACCGGCGAGGGCCCGGACATCATCGTCTCGGCGCACGACGGCCTGGGCGAGTGGGTGAACAACGGCGTCGTCGCCCCGATCGAGCTGGGCGACAAGGCCGACGCGTTCGCCGACTCGGCCGTCCAGGCCATGGCGTACGACGGCCAGACGTACGGCGTGCCGATCTCGATCGAGAACATCGCGCTCGTCCGCAACAACGCGCTGCTCGCCGACACCCCGGCCACCACGTTCGACGAGCTCGTCGAGCAGGCCAAGGGCGCCGGCACCGACTTCTCCGTGCTGATCCAGCAGGGCGAGGAGTCCGACCCGTACCACCTGTACCCGCTGCAGACGTCGTTCGGCGCCCCGGTGTTCGAGCAGAGCGCGGACGGCTCGTACACCGACACGCTCGCGCTCGGCGGCGAGGCCGGCCACGCGTACGCCGCGTACCTGGCCAAGCTCGGCGCCGACCGCACGCTCGACCTGTCGGTCGACGGCGACAAGGCCAAGCAGGCGTTCCTCGACGGCCAGGCGCCGTACATCGTCACCGGTCCGTGGAACACCTCGGCGTTCCAGGAGGCCGGCATGGACATCTCCGTGCTGCCGGTCCCGTCGGCCGGCGGCCAGCCCGCCCAGCCGTTCGTGGGCGTGCAGGGCGTGTTCATCTCCGCGAAGTCCGAGAACCCGGTGCTCGCCAACGAGTTCGTGGTCAACTACCTGACCACCGAGGAGGCGCAGGACGCGCTGTACGAGGCCGGCGGCCGCCTGCCGGCGCTGACCGCCTCGGCCGACAAGGTCGACGACGCGGTCCTCCAGGGCTTCAACGAGGCCGGCGCCACCGGCGCCCCGATGCCCGCCATCCCCGCGATGAGCTCGGTGTGGTCCTTCTGGGGCGCGACCGAGGCGCAGATCGTCGGCGGCCAGGCGGCCGACCCGGCCGGCGCGTGGGACGCGATGGTCCAGAACATCCAGGACGCCATCGACGGCTGATCGTCGTCGCGCGACCGCCGGGGTGCCCACGCGGCACCCCGGCGGTCGCGCCGCTCGCTCCACCACCCCCTTGCAGCACCCGCACCGCCGCGCGCCCGGAGGCCCTCGCATGACCGACCAGTCGACCGCCCAGGAGGTCGTCCCCGACGACCCCACGGGGACCCGCCCGCCGCGGCGGCGAGCACCGCGCGGCACCACGTCGCACGCCCGCTCGTTCTCCCCGGGGTTCATCGCCAAGCTGATCCTCATCGGCACCGTCGACGCCCTCGGCGTGTACGGGATCCTGTCCGCCTGGGCCGTGTCCCAGTGGGGGATCCTCGCGTTCCTGGTCCTCGCGCTCGTGGTCGCGAACTGGGCCTACTTCTCGCGCCGGATGCTGCCGGCGAAGTACCTCGTGCCGGGCCTGCTGTTCCTGGTCGTCTACCAGCTGTTCGCGATGGGCTACACCGGCTACGTCGCGTTCACGAACTACGGCGACGGCCACAACTCCACCAAGGCCGACGCGATCACCCAGATCGCCGCGCAGAACGAGCGCCGCGTCGAGGGCTCGCCCTCGCTCCCGCTCGCGGTCGTGCAGAGCGGCGACGAGCTCGGGTTCGCGGTCGTCACCGAGGACGGCGACACGCAGGTCGGCACCGCCGAGCAGCCGTTCGAGGACGTCGACGCCACCGTCGAGTCCGGCCGCATCACCGAGGTCCCCGGCTGGGAGGTCCTCGGCTTCGCGCAGGTCGCGGCCGACCAGGAGGCGATCACCTCGCTCCGGGTGCCGTTCTCCGACGACCCGTCCGACGGGTCCGTCCGCACCCAGGACGGGTCGACCGGCTACGTGTTCCGGTCCGCGCTCGAGTACGACGCCGCGGCGGACACGTTCACCGACACCGACACCGGCACGGTCTACACGCCCGGCGAGGGCGGCAACTTCGTCTCCCCGGACGGCGAGCGGCTGACCCCGGGCTGGCGGGTCGGCGTCGGGTTCGACAACTTCACGGCGATGGGTCACCGACTCGCGGATGGCCGGGCCGTTCGCGCAGATCTTCGTGTGGACCTTCGCGTTCGCGTTCCTGTCCGTGATCACCACGTTCGCGCTCGGCCTGTTCCTGGCCATCACGTTCAACGACCCGCGGGTGCGGGGCCGGAAGGTCTACCGCTCGCTGCTGATCCTCCCGTACGCGTTCCCCGGGTTCCTGTCCGCGCTCGTCTGGCGCGGCATGCTGAACGAGCGGTTCGGCCTCATCAACGAGGTGCTGCTCGGCGGCGCGTCGATCCCGTGGCTGAGCGACCCGTGGCTGGCCAAGGCCGCGATCATCGGCGTGAACCTGTGGCTCGGCTTCCCGTACATGTTCCTCATCTGCACGGGCGCGCTGCAGTCCATCCCGCACGACATGACGGAGGCCGCGCGGATCGACGGCGCCGGCCGCTGGCGGATCTTCCGCTCGCTCACGCTGCCGCTGCTGATGGTCTCGGTGGCGCCGCTGCTCATCTCGAGCTTCGCCTTCAACTTCAACAACTTCTCGCTGATCTACATGCTGACCGGCGGCGGCCCGAACTTCGTGGGCACCCCGTACGTGGTGGGCCACACGGACATCCTCATCTCGATGGTCTACTCCGTGGCCTTCGAGTCCGGGACCAAGCAGTACGGCGTCGCCAGCGCGCTGTCGATCGTCATCTTCCTGATCGTCGGGGTCATCTCCTACCTCGGCTTCCGTCGCACCCGCACCCTCGAGGAGATCTGAGATGGCCCGCTCGACCGAGCTGCACACCGCCGTGCGCGGCCGCCGCTGGTGGTCCGAGATCGGCTGGCGGCACGTCGTCGGCGTCGTGATGATCGCGATCTGCCTGCTGCCGCTGCTGTACGTCCTCTCCGCGTCGCTCAACCCGGGCGGCACGCTCACGGGGTCGAACCAGCTGTTCCGCACCATCAGCCTGGAGAACTACACCGAGCTGGGCCCGCGCGGGTACATGAACTGGGCGGTGAACTCGCTCGGGGTGTCCAGCGCGACCGCGGTCGGCACCGTCCTGATGGGTGCCGCGGCGGCGTACGCGTTCTCGCGGTTCCGGTTCCGCGGCCGCCGGTCCGGCCTCACGACGCTGCTGCTGGTGCAGATGTTCCCGCAGATGCTCGCGTTCGTGGCGCTGTTCCTGCTGCTGCTGTCGCTGTCCGAGGTGTTCCCGGCGATCGGCCTCAACACCCAGCTCGGCCTGATCTGCGTCTACCTCGGCGGCGCGCTCGGCGTGAACACGTTCCTCATGTACGGGTTCTTCAACACGGTCCCGCGCGAGATCGACGAGGCCGCCAAGATCGACGGCGCGAGCCACGCGCAGATCTTCTGGACGATCATCCTGCGGCTCGTGGCCCCGATCCTCGCGGTCGTCGGCCTGCTGTCGTTCATCTCGTCCTACGGCGAGTTCATCATCGCCAAGGTCGTGCTGCAGCGCCCGGAGCGGTTCACGCTGGCGCTGGGGCCTCTACAACTGGGCCTCCGACGAGCGGAACGCCCGCTGGGGCATCTTCGCCGCCGGCGCCGTGCTCGCGGCGATCCCGGTCGTCGCGCTGTTCCTGTTCCTGCAGAAGTACATCGTCGGCGGGCTCACCGCCGGCTCCGTGAAGGGCTGACGCTTGTCCGACCGCACCACCGGCGGCCGCCACGCCGCCGCCCCCGACGTCGCCGTGCCCCTGGGGGCGCACCACGACGGCTCTGCGCTGTACGTGCCGCCCGGCACGCCGGCCCTCGGCGACACCGTGCCCGTCCGGCTGCGGGTGCCCGCCGACGGGCCGGCGCCGGACGTGTGGCTGCGGGTCGTCGAGGACGGCGAGCCGCGGGTGTACCCGGCGCGGGCGGACGGCGGCGACGAGCACGAGCGCTGGTACGCGGCGGACGTGCCGGTCACCAACCCGGTGACGTCGTACCGGTTCCTGCTGGCGGGCGAGGGGCAGCCCGGCGGGCAGGCGTGGCTGAACGGCGAGGGGCACGATCGCCCGCGACGTGCCGGACGCGTCCGACTTCCGGCTGTCGACCACGCCGCCGGGGCCCGGCTGGGCGCGGGACGCGGTCGTCTACCAGGTGTTCCCGGACCGGTTCGCGCGGTCGTCCGGCCGGCACGACGGGCCGCCCGCGGGCGAGCTCCCCGACTGGGCGCTGCCGGCGGCGTGGGACGAGGAGCCGATCGGCGGCGGGCCGGGCACCGGCACGCAGCTGTACGGCGGCGACCTGGGCGGCATCGAGCAGCGGCTGGACCACCTCCAGCGGCTCGGCGTCGACACGCTCTACCTGACGCCGGTGTTCCCGGGCCGGTCGAACCACCGGTACGACGCCCGGACCTTCGACCACGTCGACCCGGTGCTCGGCGGCGACGAGGCGTTCGCCTCGCTGTCCCGCGCGCTGCACGGGCGCGGCATGCGGCTGGTCGGCGACCCTCACGACCAACCACACGGGCGACGCGCACGACTGGTTCCGGCGCGCCGTCGAGGACCCTGCCGCGGAGGAGCGGTCGTTCTACTACTGGCAGGACGCCGCGCCCGGCTACGTCGGCTGGCTCGGGCACGCGTCGCTGCCGAAGCTCGACCACCACGCGCCGGCGCTGGCGGCGCGCATGTTCGACGGGCCGTCGTCGGTCGTCGGGCGCTACCTCGCCGAGCCGTTCGCGATGGACGGCTGGCGGGTCGACGTGGCCAACATGACCGGCCGCCAGGGCGCGGACGACATGACGCACGAGGTCGCGGAGCGGATGCGCGCCGCGATGGCCGCGATCAACCCGGACGCCGCGCTGATCGCCGAGCACTTCCACGACGCCGGTGCCGACCTGCGCGCGGCCGGCGGCTGGCACGGCACGATGAACTACTCCGCGTTCACCCGGCCGGTGTGGACGTGGCTCGCGGACCCCGCGGCGGCGCTCCGCTACGTGGAGCTGCCGGTCGGCATCCCGCGCCGGCCCGGGTCGGCCGCCGTGGCCGCCATGCGCGAGTTCGGCGCCGCCGTCCCGTGGAGCGTCACCACCCACCAGTGGAACCTGCTCGGCTCGCACGACACGGCGCGGTTCCGGACGATCGTGGGCTCGCGGGACCTGGTCGAGGTCGGCGTCGGGCTGCTCATGACCTACCCGGGCACGCCCGTGCTGTTCGCGGGCGACGAGGGCGGGCTGGCCGGGCGCAACGGCGAGAACTCCCGGGTGCCGATGCCGTGGGCGCAGATCGACGCCGGCGGTGGTCCCGCGTGGGACGCCGGGCTGTTCGCCACGTACCGGTCGCTGATCGCGCTGCGCCGGTCGTCGCGGGCACTCCGCGAGGGCGGGCTGCGCTGGGCGCTGGTCCGGGACGACGCGATCGCGTACCTGCGGGAGACGGCGGGCGAGCGGGTGCTGGTGCTCGCGTCGCGCGCGCCGTGGCGGGGCGCGCTGCTGCCGGGCCACCTGCTGGCGGCGGGGGAGCAGCCGGAGAACCTCTACGGGGGCGCCGCGCTCGCGGTGGAGCCGGGCGGGCTCCGGCTGCCGGGCGACGGGCCGGGCGTGCAGGTGTGGCGCCTGGCGTGAGCCGGGGCGGGTGCGAGGGGGGCGGGCGCGAGCGCGGCACTCCCGGTGCGAGATCGGCACCTCGGGGTGCCGACCTCGGCACGCGACTGCCGACGTCGGCGTGGTGAGCGAGCCTCACCCCGATAAACTCGGGTCCGTGACCAGCGAGCTTCCCGACGGCTACGTCGACGCCGACCGGGAGCGCTGGGTCGCCGAGGCGCCCAAGTCGCGCTCCCGGACCCCGTTCGAGCGCGACCGCGCGCGCCTCGTGCACTCCTCGGCGCTGCGCCGGCTCGGCGCGAAGACCCAGGTGCTGGGGCCGTCGTCGGACGACTTCGTCCGCACCCGGCTGACCCACACGCTCGAGGGTCGCGCAGGTCGGCCGGGAGATCGGCAAGACGCTCGGCTGCGACCCCGACGTCGTGGACACCGCCTGCCTCGCGCACGACCTCGGCCACCCGCCGTTCGGCCACAACGGCGAGCGCGCGCTGGCC